GGCCCGAACGCGGGTACGAACGACGTGGGCCCGAACGCGGGTACGAATATTATTTTTGTCTGGTTGCGCACAACGACATGCAAATTTTGGATTCTGAAATTTGAGTCTGAACCGTTGCAAAGTCATTGAATTTGAGTGATGAAACTTGAGCTTGACACTGAGACTGATTGAGAATTGCTATGATGGGGGTTTGGTCTTGCAGACATGTTTGGCGCCCCGCCACACGCATGACAATTGCAACTTCATCACACATTCTCACCTTCGGGCTCAAATGCACGCCACTTCATTCCGCTTGAAGCAGAAACAATCTAGGCCTGCATTTGCGCCATTTGGCCTGGAAGCGTGGCCACTTCGAGGTGGCATGTGGTTTCAGAAGTCACATGTTGTGGCACAGAAAGTATGTTCAAATTCTGACAATGGCTTAAGAGGAGTATTTTCATTTACAAATCCATGTTTCACACTATTGTTCAAGTTCAAAGGCTCAAAGTTTGGTGACCTGCTCATCCATGCACAACATCAACCGTTGTGGGTAACTGGGAGGCAGGTGGGACAGCTTAAGTGATTCGGTCATAATATGATTATCATAAATGGAAACTTTTTTGATGACACTGACTGAAATTTCCAAAAAGATTGCAACCCGGCCTCGCGTCGCAAGTGGCTGCATAGTGAAGAAGAGACCTCAGGGAACACAATAAAAAAACAATCAAGCAAGGAGTGTGAAAACTGGTGGCTGCTTCATCATCCACAGACCAAGCTCGTGATTTTTTCCACACGTTGTGCGTCGAAGGACTGCACGGTCTGCAGTCCAGAGACCAAAATTCCGTCTGGTCACAAAACCAAATTTTGGTTCGTCGCAAGTCACCAACCCTAAGTTCGTCTTTTAAAGACCAAGCAGTGAGCCCTTTGTTAGTGCTCAGGTTCTGGTTCAGGTTCCTGTGGCGAGTTCCACGAAGACATCATCGACGACCCAGGTGGCAATTCACTGGACGCCTCAGACTCAGAGGCCACTGGTCTGGACGCACAACGTGGCATGGACACCCAAGGTGCTTCAGAGGCCACAGGGCTGAACACCCAAGGTGGCCCTTGATTGGACGCCTCAGAGGCCATTTCAGAGTTCACTGGACTGGACTCAGAATGTGGCCATTGCCTCGACGGCTGAGAGGCCATTTCAGAGGCCATTGGACTGGTGACGCTTTGTCCAGGTTGTGGGCGCTTACGCTTGCATGGTGGCCATTGCCTCAACGCCTCAGACTCCAGATAAGCGGATGCCCAAGGTGGCAATCGACTGGACGCCTCAGAGGTGGATGCCGAAGGTGGCGACGAGGAAGACGCCAATGGCCAGTGACCGGACGAAGACGCCATTGGATGGCGGTGCCATGTCGTGACCTGCTGCCCAAAATTGATCCAAAAATCGGTTGACACGCAGTCACAAATGTCACTGAGACAAGGAGGTTCAAGATGAACATACTGACATATCAAATTCATCTCTATTCTGAAAATTCAATTCGACAATCTGATAATTCAAACCTGGCATCATGAAGCTCAGTGAGTCATGCGGCATTAGTGGGTGGGCCTTGAAGTCTGCCAGAAATTTAAGTCAAAACATGTGGCTGAGATTGCGACAGCCCAAAATCATGCGGTGCGGTCGTCCTGCAGCAACATGCGCGTAACCGCGGTGACACTTCTGGAAAAAATCAACCAACAACGATGGGTCGTAGCCGCTGTTTTGGATTTCCTGCCTATTTTTCTGCGCGGGCACAGCATGTTACACCCTCTGTTGGGCCCAAACTTAAATCCTCCGACCGTTGGAAGGTCGACCAAAGCAAAACAGGGTGGGAGTTGCTCACCTGCGTTCCTGTGCAAGCCTGTCTTTGCATGATTAATAGCAGCAGTGACAGTCACAATGGTTAGAATATTGAAATGTCACGAATGATGACTGCTCACCAAGGAAAGCAAAAATGGTGAGAAATGAAACACGCCTCACCCACTTGTCAATTGGCAGTGGCTATCATTACAGAGCTGCTGCTGCTACTGCTCAGTGACCATCATCACCTCCTTTTTGCCTTCGCGATCACACAGGTCACACCAGCAATCTTTTGAAGTAGCCTTTACACTGTGTCTCTCAGGAGAGGTCAGGTAACCCTTGAAGTACGGGTAGTAGCACGATGGGCACGCTCTCTCCCCGGCAACAGATTGTAAGAATCGAATTGCTGCATCTTTGTTGGGCCATCCGCCATCGAAAGCTGGCATCGCTCAAGTCGAAAGTGGCAGGACGGAGGTAAGAGCTGTACTTAGGGATTGCGCTCAAACCTAGTTCTCGAGCTGTCACGCTTTCTTCAGATCATGCCACATAGGGGTTTCAGCGGTTTCTTCTCACATGTGTTGCTGTCACAGGTTGAAACAAAGAGTTTGAAATCATGTCACATAAGAGTTTGAAACCATGTCACATGATAGCTGAAAGACTGTTTCGGCTGCAGCATCCAATCCGCCCATGCATTCGGTCCTGGCGCAGCAGTCGCTTCAGCCCACTGCGTGGCTCCAAACCCTGCAGCAGAAAGGCCACACA